ACGTCTCACAGGCATATAGCAGGGTTGGGAGGACAATAGCTTTATAAACAAGCACCTTGGTATCCCTACGGATGTCCCGGTCCTCAAACACTCTCTGCTTCATTCGGAAAAATGCTGCGCTCGCAGAGCTCAGGCGGTGTTGTATTTTAGTGTCAATGTTGACTTTGGTGGAGAGGTGGCTGCCAAGATGACTTACCAAGCACTGCAAAAATGAATAGGAATGGATTGCATTCCCAAAATTTGCTGAATATTTATACAAATACAGTTAATCTGAATAATGCTGAGTGTCTAAACATCCCACTCCAGAAAAAATACACATAAGGTACAAGCAACAAGAGTTTCAGAACCTCTTCTTCTTTAGAACAGTGATTTGTATTCATGTGAAAGCAACATATTCCCAAATATGTGTCCTGGAGGAATGAGACAGATGCCGGGTTCAATTTGAATGTGTGAAGCAGGGATGGGGAAGCTGTAACCTTCCAGATGTTAGGGCTGTGTCATATGAGCCTGTGTGGAGAAAGGTCCAGGATAAAAGGAGCTGGGGACCATAGAAATTTTGAGGAAACACCTCCAGATGTTGTTTCATGTCCCTAATAGCCCTCCGTTTGCTTCATTTAAAGAGTGGCTAAATACAAATTCCCAACTTCTTTCCTTTTCAACACATCCCGTGAAAAGTTTCTGAGAAACGTGTATGCCGTCGCGCCTGGGGCTATCGAGAAAGAGGCATGGACGTGACTGCTTTCCCCAGGGGATTGCTTCTTGCCCTCCTTTAGGGAAACTGGAACTCCCAAGGACCAGAACACAACAATTGACTCGAAGTGGTGTTTATTGATGATAATTAGTTTTCTTTCTTAGGCACACACTTTATGTTTCAACAGGGAAAAACACTTTCTAAACTCTAACGGAGCAAACCACAACCCCAGTTCAGTGGCCTAAATTGAAGGACAAGACCTTCCTATGGTGCCAAAGAACTGGAATGAAGGCGCCTGAGGTCTTCACAATTTCGTTCAGGAGGTTTGAACATAAAGAATAAGACTCAGGGGTCAAAACCTAAGAACTGGTAGTAAAAAATGCCTTGACCAGGGGCTTTTGGGCCAAGCTTTTGGACACGTCCATCCAATGAGTCTTTTTCTGAGGTAAAAAAGGTGAGGGAGAAACCTTCCCTTTCTCCCTTGGAAGGGGCGGAGCCTAAACAACTGAACTGGGGAAACAAGCCAATTGGCGTACAACAACAATCAATTGACAGCTATAGTAACCAATGAAATTTAACTATACATGTACAAGGTAGACAGAAATAAAATGGCAGTTTAAAATCCTGCAACTAACAGTTCTAAATATATGTGGCGCCACACGCGCCGTCACAACGTGATTATCACTTCTTGATTTTGTGACCAACCTACTGCCCACCAGTAGATTTTGGCACTTTGACTGTTAAGTAAACACAACAGGAAGTTTGGACATATACTGATTGGCATTGCTGGGCATACTCGTATAATTACTATTTATATAGTGTAATCACTGTACATAAATGCTATACCAGTGCCTATTGCTTGTGATCATGTGCAATTATATAAGCCAGTTCCTTACATCAAAATTACTCATGTGTTTCTGTTGAGTAGTAAGTAGGTAGTGCTTCTTCTCCCATACATACATGCTTTATACAAGTAACTTTTTCCTCCTAAGCACTTTATACCTTCAACAATAAGTGAGATGAGTGCCATATTTCAGGAGTAATTCTGGTAGATCTGAGGCCACATGCTTCTACCCTCGGTGCTCACCCTAAGCTACACCATAACTCAAAATGCAAGATACTCCACTTAAGTCAGAAAAAACAAAATGCAAAGATACAGAATGGGGGACACCCGGCTCAAGAGCAGGACGTGTGAAAAAGATCTTGGAGTCCTCGTAGACAACAAGTTAAACATGAGCCAACAATGTGATGTGGCGGCAAAAAAAGCCAATGGGATTTTGGCCTGCATCAATAGGAGCATAGTGTCTAGATCTAGGGAAGTCATGCTACCCCTCTATTCTGCCTTGGTTAGCCCACACCTGGAATATTGTGTCCAATTCTGGGCACCACAATTCGAAGAGAGATATTGACAAGCTGGAATGTGTCCAGAGGAGGGCGATTAAAATGATCAAGGGTTTGGAGAACAAGTCCTATGACGAGCGGCTTAAGGAGCTGGACATGTTTAGCCTCAAGAAGAGAAGGCTGAGAGGAGATATGATAGCCATGTATAAATATGTGAGAGGCAGTCACAGGGAGGAGGGAGCAAGCTTGTTTTCTGCTTCCCTGGAACAATGGCTTCAAACTACAAGAAAGGTGATTCCATCTGAACATTAGGAAGAACTTCCTGACTGTGAGAGCTGTTCAGCAGTGGAACTCTCTGCCCCGGAGTGTGGTGGAGGCTCCTTCTTTGGAAGCTTTTAAACAGAGGCTGGATGGCCATCTGTCAGGGGTGATTTGAATGCAATATTCCTGCTTCTTGGCAGGGGGTTGGACTGGATGGCCCATGAGGTCTCTTCCAACTCTATGATTCTATGAAATGGGTGAAATAGGAAGAAAGTCGCACCTGGAAGTTTCTGGATGCCTGTTTCTATTGTTTTTAATTGAGGGGATGGGTCTCTTTATTAAAGAGACCCATCCCCTTACATGCTTTATTACATGCTTTATTTAAAAAACTGCTGATTTTCAGTACTTTCTGGAACATAAGAGTTGGAAGAGGGCCTTATGGACCATTGAGTTGAGCCCCCAGCTGAATCTCCAGCAGGAACATCCCCAACAGGTGGATGTCTCTCTCTTTCAGTTGATGTCCAAAGGAGCCCCGGGCCACCTCTCTAGGTGAGTGGTTCCATTGCTACTGTTAAGATTGCCCTTCTAATATTTGATCAAAACCTATCCTCCTGAAACTTAACACCACTAGACCTGGTCCTACTCCCTGAGGCAACTGAGAATAAGCCTGCAGCTCTGTTTCATTATTCGAGCAGAGGCCACTGGGGACACTAGAGAGAGAAGAATAGTCCATTTTGTGGGGGTGGAAGTGAGTGGAAGGTGGAAACCATTTCCCTGTGTTTTTCCCCATCCATGTCCCCGTCCTGGAAACAACCCTAGTTTATGATATAGGAAGTGGGAAGGGGGAATAACCAGTGAAACAGAGGAAATGGTTTTCCTACTTCAACTCTCACAATGGAGAACCTTCTTGCAGCAATACCAGAGGCATTCCAAGTGGCCTGCTACTGGTCAAAGAACATTTAATCAACTACCAAGCTTGCAAACTTTGTGGTTTGTTTGTTTGTTTGTTAAAAATGCAATACAACTGTTTGGCTTGCTCCTGACACGATAAATAAATAGCATCATAGAGGACCACATTTTAAAACCAACTAGTCATTTATAGTTGCAATGCATGTATGTCTGCGCCCTACACCACTGGAGAAATTACACTGCTTAGCCGGTATTGCACCACTTAACATCCACCGGAAAGTAGCAGCCAATAGTGAAAGGACCAAGGCAGAGATATCTCCAGCTCATCTCCCTCTGTGGATATCAGCCAGCACGTCAATGACTTAAATCTAGAAATAGTTTTCTAAGATGTACAGAGACACTCGCTGGAACACCTCAGCAATCAAGAGTCCAAAAGTGGCAGGCTCAAACCCAGAACCTCAACCAATTGATGATACCAAATGAGAGACTCCCCCCTGGAACACAGAGGACTGGGCGACTTGGAAGGCGCTGAACAGACTGCGCTCTGACACCACGAGATGCAGAGCCAACCTTCAGAAATGGGGCTACAAAGTTGAATCCTCAACATGCGAGTGTGGAGAAGAGCAAACCACTGACCACCTGCTGCAATGCAACCTGAGCCCTGCCACATGCACAATGGAGGACCTTCTTGCAGCAACACCAGAAGCACTTCAAGTGGCCAGATACTGGTCAAAGGACATTTAATCAACTACCAGAACACAGGAATCATAGAATCAAAGAGTTGGAAGAGACCTCATGGGCCATCCAGTCCAACCCCCTGCCAAGAAGCAGGAATATTGCATTCAAATCACCCCTGACAGATGGCCATCCAGCCTCTGTTTAAAAGCTTCCAAAGAAGGAGCCTCCACCACACTCCGAGGCAGAGAGTTCCACTGCTGAATGGCTCTCACAGTCAGGAAGTTCTTCCTAATGTTCAGATGGAATCTCCTCTCTTGTAGTTTGAAGCCATTGTTCCGCGTCCTAGTCTCAAGGAAGCAGAAAACAAGCTTGCTCCCTCCTCCCTGTGGCTTCCTCTCACATATTTATACATGGCTATCATATCTCCTCTCAGCCTTCTCTTCTTCAGGCTAAACATGCCCAGTTCCCTAAGCCGCTCCTCATAGGGCTTGTTCTCCAGACCCTTGATCATTTTAGTCGCCCTCCTCTGGACACATTCCAGCTTGTCAATATCTCTCTTGAATTGTGGTGCCCAGAATTGGACACAATATTCCAGGTGTGGTCTAACCAAAGCAGAATAGAGGGGTAGCATGACTTCCCTAGATCTAGACACTATGCTCCTATTGATGCAGGCCAAAATCGCATTGGCTTTTTTTGCCGCCACATCACATTGTTGGCTCATGTTTAAATTGTTGTCCACGAATCCTCCCACCAAAGGCCCTCCTCCACTGTGGTTGTCCAGCTTCTCAGCCAAAGGGAGGGCTGTTTCTGAGATTTCAAGCAGGGGAGGGGAGAGCAGGCATGCTTGGCACATGGCAGCGTGGTGTGCATGTGTGGGAGAGCGTGTGAGGCAGGAGGGAGGCTCGCATCAGCAAGTCCCTTCAAGGCATGATGGTTCTGTGTGGGAAGTTTGTGTGGGGTTCAGAATGCTCTTTGAGTGTAGGTGAACTATAAATCCCAGTAACTGCAAGGCCACCCTTCCTTCCTTCCTTCCTTCCTTCCTTCCTTCCTTCCTTCCTTCCTTCCTTCCTTCCTTCCTTCCTGCTCCAGGCTGGTGGTTGTTTTCATTTGAAAAGGTTCCAGGTTCCAGGTCGGAATTGTTTACCTGGTTGCCATGGAGACCAGGGGTTTGAAGGGACCTCACGTCAGTTGGCCCTGCCATTGCCTTCCTGGACGCCAAGATGGGCAGAGGGCTCTCCAGGCAGCTCCAGCAGGGGCCGCCCCCCACAGAGGACGCTCCAGCCCAGGACCCTCCGCGCGCCCCCCTCAGGACGGCCTCGCACACGTCATGGTTCAGGGTAAGGGCCACACTCCCCTCCCGCTCCCCTTGGGGCCCCTTTGGGGCCAGCCCTGTTCTGGTGTCAAGGGCCCCCTTCATGGCCTCCCTTTGCTTTCGCAGAAGGTCAGGACGAGGCACCCACATCGCCGCGTGGGCCCCGAAAACACAGAGGATGTTCCTGTGGCTCCTCCAAGGTAAGCCCTGGGCCCCCAATTCCCTCCAGGGGTCCCCCTCTAGAGCTCCCCCCAAGAGAAGACCTGGCCCAAGAGGGAAAGGGTCCCCAGGAGAGGAGCAGCCTGCCTTCTCCCTTTGGGTCCCAAGTCCACTCTCAGGGAGTCCCTTTGCGGGTAGAGAGAATTCGTATGTGGGTGGGGATTGGCCAGGGGGATTGTGAGGTGAGGAGAAATTTGCATATGGGAGGTGATTGGCCAAGGGAGGCAGAAGAGGGAGGGACCCCTGGGAAGGAGGAGGATATGCAAAGTTTGGCAAGGGGGGATTGTGAGGTGAGTGGAAATTTGCATATGGGAGGTGATTGGCCAAAAGAGAGGGAGGAAGGAGGGGCCCCTGGGAGGGAGGGAGATATGCAAAATTTGGCAAGGGGGGATTGTGAGGTGAGGGGAAATTTGCATATGGGAGGTGATTGGCCGAGGGAGAGAGAGGAGGGAGGGGCACCTGGGAGGGAGGGAGATATGTAAAATTTGGCAAGGGGGGATTGTGAGGTGGGGGAAATTTGCATATGGGAGGTGATTGGCCAAGGGAGGCAGAAGAGGGAGGGGCCCCTGGGAAGGAGGGGGGATATGCAAAGTTTGGCAAGGGGGGATTGTGAGGTGAGTGGAAATTTGCATATGGGAGGTGATTGGCCAAGGGAGGCAGAAGAGGGAGGGGCCCCTGGGAAGGAGGGAGGATATGCAAAGTTTGGCAAGGGGGGATTGTGAGGTGAGGGGAAATTTGCATATGGGAGGTGATTGGCCAAGGGAGGCAGAAGAGGGAGGGGCCCCTGGGAAGGAGGGGGATATGCAAAGTTTGGCAAGGGGGGATTGTGAAATGAGGGAAAATTTGCATATGGGAGGTGATTGGCCAAGGGAGGCAGAAGAGGGAGGGGCCCCTGGGAAGGAGGGGGGATATGCAAAGTTTGGCAAGGGGGGATTGTGAAGTGAGGGAAAATTTGCATATGAGAGGTGACTGGCCAAGGGAGAGAGAGGAGGGAGGGGGCCCTGGGAGGGAGGGGGATATGCAAAGTTTGGCAAGGGGGGATTGTGAGGTGAGGGGACATTTGCATATGGGAGGTGATTGGCTGAGGGAGAGAGAGGAGGGAGGGGCCCCTGGGAGGTAGGGGGATATACAAAGTTTGCCAAGTAGGTAGAAGTATTTTTAGGGCCTTTTACTCTCGCACTTAAGACCTGGCTTTTTACTAGAGCATTCGATCTCTGTTAATTTTTAATTTTTGTATGTATGTATTTTATCTTGGAGCATTCTCGGATGGAGGGCGATATTAAATGATGATGATGATGATGATGATAAATACGTACTACAAACACATTTATTTACAGTTACAATCAAATGAGACAGACTTTGTTTTGCAGTATTTACGTTTGCAACATTTATATTTTCTAAATCATTATAGTTACAAAGCCAGCTGCGATATGTCTTCAAAGTTTTTCTTTCTTCTTTGGTTTCAATTATAAATACAGTTATAGTTACAAACACAATTGCAAATTCACAGATATAACAATTACAAATACAGTTATAGTTACAAACACAATTGCAAATTCACAGATATAAGTGGGGATTGTCTGGCATCCCAGCAACCTATGTGAGGCCTTTTCTCCCAAAATAAAGAACTAATTAGTTCAAATATAGTTCAGTCAACAGGAGTCGATCAACTGATTGAAATTTTATTAGAGAAAATGGTGTTCTCTAGAAAAGCTACTTCAATGGTACACTCCGGAGTACAGAATAGCAAAGTATTTCCAAGATATACATGAAAGGCAAAAGCAGAAGTACATCTAAATACTGGCTTCAAAAATCATTCCAAAATATAGGTTACAGCAATAATGTTCTTGATGCAGCAAACAGCAGAGCCCAATACTGAAAGGAAAGCCAAAAATCCCCAGACAAAGAACTGTATCCAAAACGTAATTCCCCAATTCCAAACAAGAAAAAAATGACATGAAAACAAGGCCATAAGCACATGAAAAGGTGACTTTGAAATCAGAGCTGATGGGGTTTAACCTGGAGAAAGGATTTGGAGAAGGAAAGATTGTAAAAAAATAAAATATTGAATGTATGTATATAATAAAAGTTAGTGTTTGTATGCGGCAGGAGGGAGGGCAGTGTATGTATGTGGCAGCGTTCTGATTGGCTGATACATCCACAGCTTTCTGATTGGCTACCACATTCATAGGCCACTGCTAGGCCCCAAAAGAAACTGCCATCTTCCCTTTTCAACACTGAGCCAAAGAAGTAAGCTTTTGGCACACAGAGCCTCCATGACCCACTCTACATCCTGGTGAAGTTTGAAGGAGGGCAGACCATGGATGATGGGACTTGAAGTACCTTCACTCGTATCCTGAGACCACTGCGACCCTCATCCAATGACTGCTAAACACCAAACTTGATACGCAGAGCCCCATGACCCACTCTACATCCTGGTGCAGTTTGGAGGAGGTGGACCATTGATGATGGGACTTGCAGTACCTTCATTCACTTCTTGAGACCATTGCAACCCACATCCAATGACTGATCAAAACCAGACTTGGCACATAGAGCCCCCATGACCCACATCACATCCTGGTGCAGTTTGGAGGCGGATGGACAATGGAAGATGGGACTTGCATATGGGAGTTGTAGTTCACCCGCATCCACTGAACCCAGATGACATTGGATCTAGACTAAAACTGCAACACGGACAAACAATGCCTTTTTCAAATAACCCGGGCACCGCCGGGTCCCCAAGCTAGTAAAAAATAAAATTAAATATTTGGGAATTTACTTAACTAATAAGCCAGTGAGGTACTGGGATTATAACTATAACAAAACATGGGAAAGGATACAGGTACAAATGAATAATTGGAAGGATAAGAATTTAAGTACTTCAATGAGAATTAGATCAATTAAAATGTGCATACTTCCTAAGTTATTGTATCTGTTTCAAACTCTACKACTAGAGATTACACAACAAAAAATTAAATATTGGGATGGAGAAATAAGGAAGTGGATATTTGGAGGGGAAAAGTCAAGTAATAAGTAAAAAACTATATATGTCAAATAAAAAATAGGAAGGGGAATACCAAAGTTACACAAATACTATGAAGCATTTCAATAGAGAAGAAGCAAGAGAAGTGGATAAGAGTAGAGAATGAAGCAAATAAAGATCAAGGAGACCATGGAATATTTACAAATATTTAAAAGAGTGAATAGAAAAAAAATAGGCCCAAAGAAAATAGCATTAAAAATATGGGGGAAATGGAAAGAGAAATGGATTCCATATTTATCAAAGAAGGCCCTGATAGGTAGTTTAAGAAATGAGGATAAGAGCATCATAAAAAAATTGAAACTTAAAAGATATAGTAAAATTAAAGATTTATATAATGAAAYTAAGGAATTAARGGAATGGYAACAATCGGAAACATTAGAGGGCAGGATAAARTGATTAACACCAAGAGGYATTTGGGAACYAATTAAAAAGTAAGAAAGTAGTAAGAGAGAAAATATAATAGYCAAGATATTAGAAGAGAGATTTAGAGGCAAAAAAGGACAATAAAATATATGGAATAATGACAGAAGATAAGGAATCTATGTATAAAATAATGGAAAACAAGTGGGAAAAGCTAATCAGTGGTTTAAATAAGATAAAAATGGAAAAATGCAAGGGATGAGAACTAAAAATAATAACAAAATGGTATAGAACACCAATTCAGCAGACATAAATGATTCTGGAATTAAATCCCAAATGTTGGCATTGAGGGYGRTGGGAAGCATGGTATTCACAMCTATGGTGGGAGTGTGAAGAGATAAAAATTCTGGAATCAGATTCTAAACCAGATTGAATTACATATTGAAATAAAATTTGTTATAAATATGCAAATGTTGTTAAAAGGATATATGGTGATAGAAGAATTAAGCACCAAGATCAAGAATTAATAATGATATTTAGAGCAAATATATATAAACTGTTACATTTGAATGAACACTAAATGCTGTTACATATAAAATAATATTAAATGTTATTTTAATGGCAATGTCAAAACAACACAGTCATACTAATCAATATTAGAGGGACAGGGCCTTCTCTGCGGTGGCCCCTCAGCTGTGGAACTCCCTGCCTAGGGATATTAGATCAGCCCCCTCCCTCCTGACTTTCCGGAAGAAAGTAAAAACCAACCAACTAACCAACTGACCTTTTCAGGACTAACTATTACAGTTATCTCAATCAACATCGAAGGCGTGTCAGCAGCCAAAGAACAGCTGCCCTATGAACTGTGTCGAGATAAGAAATGTGATGTGCTGTGTGTCCAAGAAACAACAGAAATAACCCAAAGTTCCAGGAATGATCTTAGTAGCAAAAAGACCACATGCACAATATGGAAGCGCTGTCTTTGTAAAAGTAGGCCTCCAAGTCAGCAGTGCCCATAACACTGAAGAAAGCAATATAAAGGTTATAGAGTACAGCTTAATAACATCACATTTACCTCTGTGTACAAATCCCCAAATGAAGAGTTTTGTTTCTCCTCTCCTGAGAGCTTTGTTAGGCACCAAAGGGAGGTAGTAATTGGTGACTTGAACAGCCATAGCCATGTATGATGCTATGCCCAGGAGGATAACAATGGAGAGGCTTTCCTCTCCTGGGCTGAACTGCACAAACTATCACTTATTCTTGATAGCAGACTCCCACCATCCTACAACAGTGAGAGATGACACCGAGGATACAACCCAGACCTCTTGTTTGTGAGCGACAGTATTGTGCAGCAATGCACTAAATCAGTGGGACCACCAATACCAAACACACAGCACTGACCAATAGTATGCCAATTGTTCCCAACTATAAGGCCTCAGAAAGTCCGATTTTAGGCGACTTCCGGGTGTGCATCATGGCGGGGAGGCAGACGCTTTAGAGCTCCGGCAAGCGTCGGCTCGGTCAAGGAGGCTGGGTAGAGCAAACAGCTCCCTTCCCCTTTGTGGATAGAAGCGGGGG